AGAGAGAGAGAGAGAGAGAGAGAGAGAGAGAGAGAGAGAGAGAGAGAGAGAGAGAGAGATCAATGCTAATTTACCAGGACAAGTTGTCTTTTTTCTGAGTCCTATCAGAAAAATCATTACAAAATGTGGTCTGCTCACATTAGCACACCAATGACACAAGTGCTGAAAAGGTATTTCCTGGAAGAGTCAGATTTGTTAAACTGTTATGCTCATTCTCTTGACATTTTCCTCTCCCTGCATCTGCCTCCAAATCAGGGATCAGACATATGTTTGAGGTGTCCTAAAAAAAATCAAATTTTTCTAAAAGTTTGGATTTTACACATTATTAGAAGTTCAGATTTTTAAAGTGGAGTAGGACACTACATGGAAACTGACTGCAATATTCTGCCAAAGCAAATAGATGAACATTCAGAACCAGGCCAATGTCAACAGGATATTGGAAAATAAACCCAATTAGTCATTGCAAGAAAAAGGGGGAGTGGTTACAGACTCTTATATACTATAGTGTCATTAATCAATGAATTGGTTAAGATGGAGCCACTTTGATTTTTTCTTACCAAAGGAAACCTATGGGCACTTCATCCCTATTGTATTCCAGAAGAACTTCCTGTTGGCCTGTTGGGCCTATTTTTCACCCTTCCCAGGCTCCAGAGGGTTTCCTAAAGCCCGGGGAGAGCGAAAACGGCCTTCCTTGGCCTTCCGGGTGGCCAAAATACAGCTGGTTGGCACGTGCATGCACACTGGATCTGATGGCTCGCGTGCTCACATATGGCTCCATGTGTCACCTCTGTGGCATGCATGCCATAGGTTCGCCATCACGGGACTAGAACTTCTCTAAGGTTATTGAAACCATGTCTCCTAAATCTAATGTATTCTAAATTTGTCTTTCTATAGAATCTATGTGATTTTTTTTTGCATATAACCAAGTATGCTATACAAATAAGAATGTTCCTTCCTAGCAGTTTCTATGATAGAAACTTTATTATTACACTATAAACATTGGTCTGAACAGCAATAATCTTTTCACCAAAAAGCCCATTGATGATTGTTAAAAAACTAGCATGGTAAAAATGATTATTTCTCATTGTTGGTTAAATATATTTGATCCATTATCCAAAATAGAATATAAATTAAAAAGACAAAGATATCCTTTGGCAAGCAATCTAAAGTATTTTAAAAATACTTAAGAAATCAGAAAAGCCTTTTTTTTTTTGAGGAGGAGTGATAAGCATTAAGCAACGCACATTAAAATATTCAACAAGAAAAATTTTTAAAATTCAATTAGAGGGAAATATAAATATATAAAAACTATATAAATTGCTTTAGGTAGTGTCTTCAAACTTTCTGTACAGATCCTAAGGTGCTAATTTTTAATTTATAAACTCTCCCTCTGGCATTAATGGATAAAGAAATGATTGGAAGAAAACACAACAAGAGAAATGAGGACATTAAGGACATTCAGATTTCACATTTTTTATGCCATGGAAAGAAAGAATCAAAACAAAATCTAAACAATGCTTTAATGAAACCTTGCATGCCTGCAGGTGGAGCACATGTACAAACAATATTTTCAATCAGTTTAGAATAAGATCAATCTATGGAAAAACTAGAAAATGTATTTTGCCTAAGCTTATTATCAAAAAATGCCAAATTAAACAAGAATCAATATTAGGTTTTACCTGTAATAGGACTGACATCAAATAGTATCAAGATTCCATTAAAGACATAAATCATTAATAAATTAACAGAAAAAATAGAGCTATTATACCTAAGAAAAACAATAAAATTCAGTTAGATTGTATCTTACTTGGAATCAACATAAATGTCGCCAAATAATTTGCAAACATTCTAAGTTCTCCAAAATCATGAATTGGGTTGATATAACATAAAATGTTCAGAGGAAAGAAGTATGAGACTCACTCTCAAGATGGAAATTGCAGACTGAATGAATACGTATATGCCTGCATGCATCAGTTGTAACTATAATGCTAAAATGAAATAATAATCAAGTTCAGGTCTGAAAACACTCCTTTTAAATCTATTTCCAAGCCTTAGTGAATGTATAGGAGTTAATTCTAAGTTAAGGTTGCAATATTAATTTCATGTTATGATAAAAATGGATTTTTCCATTTTGACCATTTTAGTAAATTAGATTATATTAACAAGGGAACATGGGGAAAATATACTGTATATTGCTGTTAAAAGCAGCATTTCTTAAACTTCCTTAAAGACATTCTTTGTAAAACCAGATCGTTTTCTAGATGCTAAAGATCTTGCAGTACACTATTGTATTGTGGTTGACTGAGGTTGGTGGAAACCAGAGTTCAATAATATCTGAATCTAAATATAAGTTAATCTGATAGGGGATTCTGGCCAAAGGAAGCATACACACATTCACTCCATAATATTTCTTTCTATATATACTGTATATATGTATGAAATCAGCCATTGAAATGGCTGGAATGGTTCTGAAATGAGCCGTCTCAAAGATTTGGGAGTAAATATATGTATTCATGCAAGTCCACAAACCAATCCTATCAAACAGAAAATATTTCACTGGAGGCAGATGCCACAATGGAAAAGTACAAATAGCTGTAGATCCCAATTTCTTTTACAAATCTTGCAATGATCCCAGTAATAATACTGCATTCCTTTCTAAAATGCTGGGATCTTTCTGTGTGAGATTCCCTTCTCACTTATTATACATATGGATTTCTATTTAGCCGAGAGCATTCCTAACATCATTCAGAAAAGAGTCTATCCATTGCAAAAGTATTACTTATAATCAGCATTCAACATGTGATTACTATTGATAATACTCATTCAATCTGCAAAAGAAATACTGCTTCTGGAAAAGACTGAAGAACCCACATAAACCTGTGGAGAAGAGCTTATGTACTGTAAAAAAAAGGGAAGTCACAATTGTCTGTGATACTACGAGTGTTGTGTGCTGAAAAATGATTGCATAAGTTTACCAACACTGTCACTGATAAGCCTAGTGATGCCTAATAACAGCAACTTCTCTGTGAATATTTATCTTTTATAGACTAGATATATCCCTAAATGTATGAGGTATCTTCAACACTTCAACATGTTTAGAAATGTGAGAGGCAGGAAATTTGGGTCAGGACTTGCAAAAAGGCAATGCACATATGATAAAATCTAATGTGAGTATGAACAAGAGAAGAGAGTAAGGATATAATGTAAGTAACTTTGCAGTAACGAGAATGGAAGAAATAAATGGATTGGTAAAAATCTGACTTTTATATTTGTTAAATGTATGGATACATATTTAGATAATTACATATCATGAAATACAACTCATAACATAAAATGTGACAAATAATGGCATCTAGGTATGTGCAAAAAATTTGCAATGTTATTTTAAAGGAACTTTGAAAGTGAATTCTTTATCTTTATCACAAGATAGAAAATGGCAGGCTTCAAGAAGAAAACCCAAGGAAGGCACTTAATGATAGCATAATACAGAAATTGGAAACCTCCCCAATTCTGCTGAACCACAACTTTCAAGAGCACTAGCAATAGGGAGCACTGAGCAGCCCATTGAATTTAGCCCCTAAAGGAAATTGGGACAACGTAACTGGCAAAATACAGTTTTTCATTTTGTCTGTCTTTTGCTATGCACACCTATTTCACACACACCTATTTCAGTTGTCAAGAAATAGCAAAAATGCTACCAAAAAAGCAATTATTTTGCTTCTAAATATTTGGAGGTACAATTTAGGAATGCACTGAAGGGCAGAAAAATGGAGCTGGTATAAAAATATGGAAAGGCACGTTAATGCTGTTATAGCATAGCATTTGATCATAGGCAGTGAAGCAAAATAAAGAAGTAACAAATTTGAAATTCGTGCATTTTGGAGGAAGTTAAAAATAAATATATAAGGCCCAAGCACCTTTAGGGGAAGACCAATATTCAAGTAGAATAGTTGCTTAACACAAAGAACTCCTACACTGTATTCTTAGATAAGTATTAGTGTTATCTCAGTGACTAAAGATAATCCACTTCAAAGCCAGTATCAAGAGATGAAGTTTAAAATATCTCTAACAAGTCACCAATGCCAAGAATTCCTGAAACATCTCAAGCTTTAAGAGTGTTCTTCCAGACAGCAAGCTGTAAGAAGTCTTTATATTAATTTCTCCCTAAGGCATTTAGTGGCTTTCTTATGGATAATTCTACAGGTGCATTTTCTGCGAATGATATATCATAGGCAAGCCTATTCCACAGGACATCAGGCACTTGCTTCTTGTATTATCTCTTCTTCCTATCCCAAAAGAACCTTTTGCATCCTGCGTGCAGCAACAATGGCTTCATCTTCTGAATCAGATTCACTCTGGGAATTAGAACTCTGAGATGCAGAACTGTAAGGGGAAGAACACTCTGGGGAACAAAGGTAGTGCATCAGTGGAACCCGGTATTTCCCACAGAAGTCGACAAATTTTATTTGGCGGACACAGCTGTCAAAATAGACTCCTAAAAAGAGAAGAAATGAAGTTTTAAAAATAGAGTTTGTGCTTATTGTATAAACATGGACATACATCATGTTTCATGGTCTTTCCTATCTTGTTGTGCAAAACATGTATTTTAAGTCATTAGGTCCTTAGTTTATGACAGCTGCTAAACTGAATCAAATCTGGATCTTGACAGACTTGAACATTGGGCGCTAACAAAATGAAACTTTTTAAAAATGTTTTGACAAAATAATAATGTTGCAAAAAAAAAAGGTCCAGATGCAAGTAACTGTAGTAAAACACCTTCACAAAGGAATTTGATTTGAAAGTGGCAGATTCTGTGAAAGAGACTTACAGACTTAGAACTGACTGAGGGGATTGCATATGCCTTCCAGAAGTTCAGGCCTGCATTCCTTTACAACAGCAGAAAACTAGCTGACTGGTAAGTGATCAATTGGTTTCCCTTAAAAACACTGAAGGAGATTGGGAATAGATTTATCATAGTCAACCCAGAAAATAATTTCACCTGGACTTTTTGGGGAAGGTTGATTGACTTTGGAGAATGGATTCATTATATTAAACTGTATAACAATTGATAACAGATGGTATTAAGAAACAAACATGGATATTTAATTTAGGACAAATCATAATTATTTGTTGGAATTATCTGGGATAGATAAGAAGCTGTGGTAAACTTTCTCCAAGTTGAATACAATAAATTTGTTAACAGAGGGTTTTGAAATTTTACTCTTGCCTTTTTTGTTGTTCTGTTAAATATTTTGCCATTGATATGGTAGATCAGTGGTAGTCAACCTGGTCCCTACCGCCCACTAGTGGGCATGGGGGCGGTGGGGGGGTTGCTGTAACTCTGCTTTATAATTTTTATAAAGTAAAGTTACTTCCCTACTTTATAAATCACCATTACTGTGGAACTGGTGGGCGGTTATAAAAAATTACTACTAAAAGAGATACAAAAGTGGACGGTAGGTATAAAAAGGTTGACTTCCCCTGTGGTAGATAGACGACAGATTAATAATTTGCAAATAGAATTAGAAGTTTCAAAATGTTTTGGGCCTGTTTTGCTCAGTGAATCAGTGTTCAACAAGGGGGGGGAATAATATGTGTTGTGTTTGTGTCTTTTTTTTAATGAAACTTTTTAAATGTTTTCTTTCATTTTTTTGTTTGTTCTTGTTAAAAAATGAGTTTTGTATTTTAACTTTTTAAAAATAAAAATTACTGAGTTGTTTTGATTTTTTAAACTTTAAGCTTAGCACTTAGTAAAAAAAAAACCCATTAAAATGGTTCCCCAAAGTCTTGAAAAAAGTGCTACTGATTTCTAAATTTAATTTTCTCTTAAAAGCAGAAAAAAGAATGTACCTCCACACTTAGGATTAGGACAATTGCTGGCCAGATTCAAATATCGAAAGAGATTTCCAGGGAGATCACTAGTAACATAAGGAATATTGCGAGTTTTGATAGTGCGTCCAGCCAGTTCTTGGAGGCTTGGAGGATTGTAGGTCAATTCACGGACAAATCTCACAACCAAAGGATTCCCACGCAAACTCAGTTCTTCAAGCTGAACCAGATTCAGGATCTCCCGAGGAAGGTATGTCAGTAAGTTATTGTGAAGGCTAAGAGAGCGAAGTGAATGCAACCTGGAAATGAGAGACAGGTATACCAAAATGAGCAACAAATCCTTTTCCAGGATGATAGATATTATCTACCTGTGAATTAAACAGTGCACTTCCCTAATATGCATAGTGAAGCTATTATAAATAATGAACACACAGAATGATTTCTCTGTGCTAATATAGAATGTTTCTGCATTTTCTGAATATACTATATTCCTTATTAATTTTTAGAGTAATGAAACTGCTTTTTAAAACTCAGTAATTAAAAAACACGAGTCTAATTTATAATATACCAGAATAGGACCATACGCATGGCTCCATAACAAATATATGTTCTCTTGAGTGTAGTAGATTTAGGGCATGATCCTGATTACACTTATTAAATACAGCAATTTTATCAAAGGAGACAAGGTTGGACAGGCACAATGTACCTTTTTCTCCGGCGTATAAGGCGACTGGGTGTATAAGACGACCCCCTACTTTTCCTGTTAAAATATAGGGTTTGGGCTATACTCGGCATATAAGACTACCCCTCTTCCGAGGCACACCAAATAGCCAATCAGCCTCCATTTTATTTCCAGCGCCTTTCTCCCAGCTTGGACTGAACCAGATGGTTTTTCCTTCCAACATTCCCCTTCCCCAAACTGGATCCCAGATGAATTATTGTTATTATTATTTTTAGTGTGCAAAAAGGGTTTGGGGAATAATTGCAGATGTTTTCCCCTTCTTGATTGTTGGTTTTGAGATAGATAGATAGATAGATAGATAGATAGATAGACAGACAGACAGACAGACAGACAAGAAAGGAGGATATGGAAATGATAGATGATAGATAGGTAGATAGAAAGATAAGGAAGGTGGATATGGAAATGATAGATAATAGATAGATAGATAGATAGATAGATAGATAGATAGATAGATGTAGAAAGACAGAGAGAGAAATAGATGAACAGAGATAGGGAGGGGGCTGGAGAGGGAGGGATCTGCCACCCAATATCCTTGTTGTCACGAGAACCCCAATTCCTCTCCTTGAATGGGGGAAGGTTGAACAAGACACAGCAAACAACAGCCCATCTCCCATCTGCACACTTGAAATAGACAAAGCAGGCTCCGTCTTAATGCGCTGGCAAATCCCGTTTAGCGTTGATCGTTAGCTTTGGGAAGGAGATTCAAGAGCAGTCTACCTGGGGAAGGGAGATTGGAGCTCCAGGCTCTGGAAAAGGGACTCTGTACATGCTTCTATGTTCTGGTGTTTGTGATGCATTGGGGGGGGGGGAAATAGAGCTTTGGAAAGGAAACGGTGAACGAGCCGAGTGTGGAAATAGCCTAGAAAATATCTAGGGAACATTAGGCAGACTCACCTCGGGGCACCCTGCAACAGGACGGGGGCAGGAAGAAAGAAGATCGCGGACACCAGGTATAAGCGGGGCGGGTTTCTGGGGGTTTCTCCGCCTTGGGAAGGCGGGAAATAAACCTGAGAGTAGTAAAAGTGCTCAGCGGGAATGAGGTGAGAGAGAAAAAAGATCCATCTCTGTCGTCAGTTTTATAAACGACCCTCTGATCCGGCCACCGTCCTTTCACAATCCCAGCCATGGGAGAAACTTTTCTACACTGCCCGCTGCGCACTCCACATGGCCGGGTTTTGGTGTCGTTACCGCCGGTTTTGTTTTTGTTTTTTTGTTATGGCCTTTCTTATACCCAGCATATAAGATGACACCCGATTTTTGATTTGGGGGGGGGGGGTTAAAAAGTCATCATATGCCGGAAAATATGGTAGTTGCACGAAAGTTTCTGTTTTCTTGCTAGTGCCTATTGATTTTAGCATGAAAATTCAGACATTTACCAACATGCTGTTTGATGATCTGGTTAAAAACCTTGCCTACTGTAGATGTCATGCTAACAGATCTGTAATTTTCAAATCCTTCTGAAGATGGCTTTGCCTCCTCCAGTGTTCTAGGATTTCATATAATCTTTTGGAGTTTTTAAAGATTACTAAGACTGGTACTGCAACCACTTCTGCAAGTTTGTCCAGTACAGTGCTCTAGAATGTAAGCCAACTGGTCCTGAATTTGTTTAAATTACATGTAATGATCATCATTTAGCAACCACAATTGGGACCAGCTGCTCTGTTGTTGGGCAAGCAATCATTAAGCGGGAAATCACATCACTGTGAATATCAGGCACAAGCAATCAGAACCACTTGTGAATAGTCTTCAAGCAGCTTTATTTTAAACACCTATTTGATTTTTCCTTTCAATCAGATAAAACCTGTGCGACCTCTGACAAGCAGCTGGGTGCCACAGGGGCGGTGGAATGTGCATATGTGCGCAGCGTGCATGCACGACCAGGACGCCTGGCCCTATGCACAGCATACTGGTAGCAAGTTTTTTTGCACCATGGAAACCAAATGGACACCAAATGAGACAGTTGGTAAGCAAGTCTAAGGTCTCTCTTCTTGTCTATCCTAAATTACCCTTTTCTCATTCCCCTGCAGTATAATGACCAGCTAGGGCTCCATTTACCTTCAGAGGGAAAAGAGATACAAAATAGGAGAATTCTGCCTTCTCACCATTATGCATAACTGCTTCACCACTTTCTCTTTAAAAGTGCCTTGTTTTATTTTCATTTCTAATGAACATAAAGAACGCTTTTTATTCTTTCTGGTACCTCTTGCAAGCTTCACCACTTTAGCCTTTAGTTTCTACAGTTTCTTGACATCACTACCTCTTTGGTTTTGTTTTCTTTCTTCCATTTTCTGTAAATTTTGCTTTTTCTCTGAAGTATTTTAGAGAGAAAACATCACTTTCAGTATATTTGATTCTGTGTTTTAGCTACTTTTTTTTATTCTTATTTGATGTCCTCCTGATGAGACTAGTGAGGTTCCTTCTCAGGTTTTATAAGCTGCATCCTATCTCTTCTCAGCAGTCCTTTCTGAAAATAGCAAGATCCCTTGTCAAATTCCTGGGTGCAAGTAGTCCTTGTTTAATGGCCTCTTGTTCAGCAACTGTTCAAAGTTATACCAAACTGAAGGTATCTGTTATGTCTAGTCCTTGAAGTCTGGCACTCTAGCACCTCCACAATCATGTAATCATAAATGTAATCACTTACATTTATGATGGTTGCACTGACTCAAGGTCACATGATTGCAACATTCCCTGAAGACTTCCCAAAAATAAACCCATTGGAGAAGATGGCAAACGTCACAAATTGCTTGGGTATGTCTCTCCTACTTATGCACTTCACACAACCCCTCTGCACTCACGCTGCATCTCCCCGGGTGCTCCCACACCCTCCTGAGCCTTGCTGAACTTGTGCTACATCTCCCCAGCCACTCGCACATCTTGGACATTTCCCAAGCGTTCCACTACACTCTTGCTATGGCTACCTGGCAACTCATACACCTTTCTTACCTGACAGCAGCCATCTCAAGTCCAGTTGTCCATTTCCATCACATATGTACTCTTCCTGAGCCTTACTGCACTTGTGCTGCATCTCCATAGCCACCTAATCTCCCACTGAAAACAGCCATTTACTTGCCTGTGGCCTTCTTACAACTCACCTAGGACTTGTAAAGAGGTACTTGCTTAACAAGCCACAATCCTCCTTTAATAATGGCAACAGGGACTGCATGGATTGCCATCACACTTTACATTATGACAGTATTGCTTAATAATGGAAATTTTTGGTCCCAAATGCAGTTGTAACTCAAGCACTATCTGCAATCAGTTTCAGCTCAATGGAAATAGTATATATACCAATAGTATAATAGTATATAATTTTCACTAAATCACTAAATCAAATATCACACTATTTGAGCTCATAGTAATCACAATCTACAAGTATTGTTTATAGATCAGCATGTGCAATTATTGTACAATTTTCTAATTGTGGTGCTGCAATGAATTACACACCTCGGCATTGTGAGATTATGTTATTATATAGAAGATAGTCTCCTTTTCATACAAAAACACTTCAAAAGAAAATATTATCAGTTTTTTAGACAACTAAATTTAGGACATAGATATCAGAAAGAGTAACATGGCTAGAAATACTTACTGTGCCAACTGAGGTGGAATACTCTGTATCCTGTTATCACAGAGGACTAGGTAATTTAGTGAAGACAGGTTTGCTAACTCTGGTGGAATGGAAGTAATGAAATTTCCCCCAAGATACAAAAATTCTAAACTGAAAGAGAAACCAAAATCAATACATAAAATTTGCATCCATTTCTGACAAAGTATTGATTCAGCAAGTCATTTAGAACATAAATCAGTGGACCTCAACCTTTTACATATATTACAAAATGATTATATTAAAGAAACTTTAATAAACAAATTTGAAAACAAAGGAAAAGGAAATGGTTCTTCAGGTTAAGTTTCTCCAGGTAGGTTCCTTCAATTAAAAAAATGCTATCAGGAAAATAATAATAGATGATGAAAAATAATTTCTTTCTCCCTCTCCAAATGCCTCCCAAAACCAATTTCTATCTGCCAGACAGTTGCTGAAACCACTCAGAAATAAATCAATAGTCAGCAAAGCTTTACAAAGCTCAAAGCAGTCGTTGTCTGGTACATGTAAAAGTTATGAAACATGGATTCAGAAGTCATGAAGTGAAACCCAGTCTTTGTATTTGTATTCCAGTGTAGATACAAGTACAGGAGTCATAGTTTGCATTATGATACATGGTTTGTCATTCCTTTCCCAACCCATCCCTTTGAAGATGCAAAAGCTTTAAAGCTGTATTGCAGGAACGAAGCAGAAATCTAGATTGCTATATTTCTGATTGGTCATAATTCTATTTTAGAAGAAATTTCAAAGACAATAAAATGCCCTGCCAGTTTGCTAAGTGAGATATGAGATGCCAAGGTGACTTTCATTTCTTCTGTGTTTATGTCTGTTGAAGGATTTGATATCGCAAGTATGCTTTATTTTCCTCCAGAAATACAAAAGGAAAATAAGTCATGGTCGGGCCCAGCCTTGGTAAACCCTAAGTGAGGCTAGAGAGACAACTGCTGTGTTCCTCCTCTAATAAAGCTTATTGGACTTATTTTGAGTTCTATTTAGATTACTTCTGCTGCTTCATCTATTACCAATTGATAATTGGCACAAACCACATTGGCTTACATCAAATTATAAATAAATTGTTTTTATGTCTCTTCAGTATGTAGGAGAAAGAGAACTTTGATCTTGAAGTGATGGAGTATTTTTTTCCTTATAAGTGCATGCTGTCTGCTTAAAAGCTCAAGTCAGCACATAAAAACTAACTTGGTGGAAGCAATTAAAACAAGGTCACACAAGTTTCACAAATGAATAGATACTTGGACCTAGGTCTCTAAATTCTGCATTAGACTGTAGTGAACTTTGTGGCAAAGTTTAGCTCTATCAACTATTCTTTAATAATTAATAGTAACAATACTTTAATAATACGTAACCACAATGCTCAGAAATAGTATGCCTCTAAACACACAAAATTAATTACCAGGTAATATTCAGATTTACAGATTAACAGAGTTGGAAGGGACTTTATAGGCCATCTAACACGCCCAAGCAGGAGACCCTACACCATTTCTGACAAATAGCAGTCCAATCTCTTCTTGAAAGTCTTCAGTGATGAAGTTCCCACAACTTCCAAGGGCAAGCTCTTCCACTGGTTGATTGTTCTGTCAGAAATTTTCTCCTTATTTCTAGGTTGAATCTCTCCTTGATCAGTGTCCATCCATTATTCCTCATCTGATCTTCAGGTGCCTTGGAAAATAGCTTGACCCCTTCCTCTCTGTGGCAGCCCCTCAAATATTGGAACACTGCTATCATGTTTCCCCTGGTCCTTCTCTTCACTAGACTAGTCATTCCCAGTTCCTATAACCGTTCTTCATGTTTTAGTCTCCAGTGCCTTAATCATCCTGGTTGCTCTTCTCTGCACTTTTTCTAGTGTCTCAACATCTTTTTATAGTGACCAAAACTGAATGCAACATTCAGTATGGCCTTACTAAGGCTTTATTGAGTGGTTTATTTATTTAGCATATGGCAAATACATGGCCTTACAGTAGTTCAAATGTTAATGTCCAGTCCACCCAGCCATTCAAGGACAGAGTGGTCTATGTTAAATAAAATCAGACATTGGCCCAATGTAAGTTTTGATGGACATTCGGACACAATGGGATGGATATTTTGTCGAGGAGCACTACAGTCAGACTGAGGGATAGAGACAAGACCCCATTTAAACGATGAGTCCTGGTAGACACCATGTTGGGTACGGATCCTCTTCAGAGTTGACCAAAGCTGGTGAGGAAGGTCAAAACCTGGCATCTTTTGTGATGCTCGTTGGCCTCCTAGTGATGCACCCTGGAGAGCACAGAAGTGAGAACCAAACAACTAGCAACTATTGGCAGCCAAACTTCATTGAAGAATTGGCAGTTAACAACAGTTGGCAATCAGACATCTTTATAGAACTCCTGGCTCTCTAAATACATGGCAACAGATAAACAAAATGGGCCCTTTCAGGCCTAAAGGACAAGACAGATTGGGAACTGTCAGAATATAGTGGTATTAGTACCTCACTTGATCTTGATTGCATCCCTCTGTTAATCCAATTTATGATTGTGTTGGCTTTTTTGGCTGCCACCGAACAGTTAGCTCATATTTAATAGGTTGTCTACTAAGACTCCAAGATCCCACTCACATATTGCTATTAAGCCTGGTTCCAGCCAGTCTATATGTGTACTTTTGATTTTTATTGCCTAAATGTAAGAATTTACTTTTCTTTACATTGAATTTCATTTTGTTAGATAGGGCCCTGTGTTCAGGTCTGTCAAGTGTGTTAGCTATTCCTGTCCATGTAGTATCAACTTGGTATCAAATTTGGTAAGTTCCCCTTCTATTCCCTCATCTAAGTCGTTTGAGAAGATATTGAAGAGAACTGGGTCTAAAACGGAACCTTGTGGTAGCCCACAGCTTACTTCCCTCCATGTAGATGTAGACCCACTAAGGACTACTCAATGAGTACGGTTTGTTAGTAAGTTACAAATCCATTTGATGGTGATGCTATATATCCCACTTTTTTCTAGCTTACCAAGAAGTAGGTTTCCTAAGTTTGAAGGCAATGCCTGCAACACCTTCATACCAAAATGGAGAATACCAGAAAATTAATACAGTGAGAAAAATATACTTACATGACTGTGCACCTGCAAATCAGCTATAATTAGATTCTAAAAGAAAATGGAATTGTGCAAAATATTAAACATATACCGTATTTTTCAGAATATAAGACGCACCAAGATTTTGAAGAAGCAAATTAAAAAAAAAGGTTTTGCACTCTGCAGACCTCCCAAAAATGGCCCGTTTTTGCAAAAAAGGGCATGCATAGCCCTTTTATCCAAAAAAGGGCATGCATAGCCTTTAGGAGGCTTGTAGAGTGCTCCTGCAGGCTGTCCCCCCAAAAAACTAGCAAAAACCAGTCCATTTTATGCAAAAACAGGTCCATTTTTTGTTTTAAAAAGGGCATGCATAGCCTTTAGGAGGCTTATAGAGTGCTTCTGGGGGCTGGGGGGCCAAAAATGAGCCAAAATGCCTGTTTTTCACTCTTTTTTGCCCTACCCAGCCCCCAGGAGCACTCTGGAAGCCTAAAGGCTATGCACGGTTGTTTTTGCAAAGGGGGCGGGGTTTCAGAGGCCAAAAAATGCTGTATTCAGTGTATAAAACGCACCCAGATTTTCACCCTATTTTTTGAGGAGAAAAGGTGCATCTTACACTCCGAAAAATACGGTAATCAAATACTATTTAACATTATTCTAAAATCATTTTCAAGAGGATGTTGCACTGTTTTTTTCTAACTTTATAGAACCTCTTAAATATATATAGCAAACTGATCATACTAAGAGGGAAGAACATAGGAAACTACAATAAGAAATTAGAAGAGATTAAACAAACTGTCCCTGGGTTGAAATATTGGCAATGGTGACTAGAAAACAAGCTATAGACTAAAATGATGACAATTAGAATAATGTTTTGAACTGGAAGCTAGGCTTCCAATTGCACACTTGCACTCTCACTCCTGAGACATGTCTTCCCCTTCAGAAAGTTTTCTTTTTACTTGAGTGTATCATGTTCTATGACTAGGACCCTTGAAGAATAAAAATTCCTGAGAATCTGTGCACACTCAGATCCATTATACTCCCAAGAACCATTGTTTATGTCCCAGGCTTCTTATGGTCTCTCAGTGATATTTCCCATTTTTTGCTTTTCAGTGTAATTAATATGCTTTATTTCCAAAACAGCAGAACAGAGGAAAAACTTATTGTGACTGAACATTCCTAAGGTTATAATATGTAAAACAGATAGTAGAAAGAAAATAAAAATAGATACTGTATAAATTGCGGATAAAGCCCCCTCACGGTTTTCATTATAAGGCATCTATATGAATAAAATTAAAATCACAATATTCATTAAATATACAGATAAAGAGACAATACAAAATACAATAAATTAAACCAAGCAAATTTGGTCTAAATTGGCTATAAATATTCTTCCCTGTTTGTTAAAAAAGAATCATTTTCAACCATTACTTCCTGAAGTGAGGCTGTATTTTTCAATTGAAATGTGAAAAGATGGAAAAGCTGAAGAAAGTTAGCTTTGCATATCACCGAAGAAAAATGGATTCAAGGTAACAATTTTGTAGATGGCCAAATTGAAATTTCCAAATAAAAGATTTATGAATTTATTTTTAAGCTACAACTCTCCCACAAAATAAATCTCTTGTGATTAAAGGGACCACCACAAAGCTCATAATCTAATATTGTATCTTTCTGTGTATGTGTGAATCTATCTAGCTATATCATGGAGCATTAAGTGGTGGTAATGAACCAATCAATTCATAAACGAAATTAAAACTCATCCCAAGAACGTTTCTGAAACTCTTATATTAAACTATAACTGAAGTTAAAATGAATGAAAGTGTTGAAATTACCTGAAAGACCACCTACTCCTATACTGTAATGTTTACCTTACATTCTTTTGTAGATCTTACAACAGATACAAGATGAGCAGATTGTATAGTTATAGTTAACTAATATAGTTATGAAATAAGCTGTTGTGGGAGTTGAAAAATACAAAAAGTTTTGAATAGCCTGAATGAAAAAATATATCAGAAAATCTATTTTTCATCTAAGCTATTCAAAGAATTGTATTTTTTATAAATATTATCTTTGCACGGTTTGATATTTTTTAAAGCTATTCAAATATGTTGTATTAAGTGGCATTCAACCAAAGCTACAAAAATCCAGATGGCTACTAAACGGCCATGAAAGACAGGGAGAACTCTGAACTCTCTGCTGCCAACTATTGGTTACCTATATTTTAGCAGTCCACACATAGTCTAATATAAAAGTTCTAAATAACCCAATCATAATTTATTAAACGTGTATTGTATCAGTGAAACAAAGAAATCACAACAAAATCAGTAAAAGATAAATATAGCAATGAAGTGAGGCCTCTCCCCCGCCAATAGCATGGTTGAAGAAGCAAATAATAAATTCATTTTTTGTTCAAGAGAACAAAAGTTCTCTTGGGAGTTTATGCATAGAACAGCCACAGATTATCAACACTGAAGGAAAATAGCGAATGATCTGATAGCCCACTTGAAATAACTAGTCGGTAGTATAAAATCTCTGAGACCTCTTAAAAGATGAGTGCCTTGATTGAAGCAGAGGTCACATTTCGAGGAACAGCAACAAGCCCCGCGTTTTCTATCGGGGGGACTGTTGCACCTCCCGTAAAATGCAGCCTAAGCTTCGGCTTGAAAGGTCGCCCGCGGCCGGCTTCCCCGGGGGGCTCTTGGTCCCTTTTCCGAGCCGCCTCACCTGCTGAGCTCCTGAATGGCAGGGGGGATGCTCTGGAGGCGGTTGCTGCCCAGGCTGAGGCTCTGGAGGCGAGAGAGGCCCAGGAGCGAGGCTGGGAAGTGCGTGAACCGGTTGCCGCTCAAGTTGAGGACGCGCAAGGACCGGCCCAGGGGGGCGCTGGCCAGGCCCTTCGGGAGGGACCCGCGGCACCCCAGCCGGTTGTTCTTCGCCAGCAGCGTGTGCAGATGCGCCAGGTCCAGCAGCTCGGGGCCCAGCACCGACAACCCCGTCCCGCTCACGTCCAAGACCTCCAGGGCCGGATACCAGCTCCCGAGCCCCGCGGGCAGCTCGCCCGCCGGGGACAGCCAGGAGAGGGGGACCACCAGGCGCCGCGAGGACTGCTCCGCGGCGCCCCTCAGCCGAAGCTCGCCTTCCTCGCCCGCTCGTCGGGCTTCAGCCTCGGCCTGCCCTCCTTCCTCCGCCATCTCTTCAAGACCGGACCCCGGAACCTGAGTATGACTGCGCTCGTAGGGCCCTGGGTAGCAGAACGTCAGGCCGCGCTTCGGTCGCTTTCTCCTGTAATCGGTCGAGACTTATACAGGTTCCCGGGCTGCTCCCGCAGGAACGGGCTGGCCCGCAGACGGAGGGAGTTTCTCATTCGGCTTTTCCGAGGGGCGCCCTGGAGCTCAGGGTCCCAGTGTGCTGTCACTGACCTCCACGGGCATTTTTCAACCGTAGGTCTTTGGCTGGCGTATCTTTCCCAACCCTGGTCGACGTTTTTTTTTCCCCCTTGCAGTATAAATTTGCTGTTCAGTATGTATTCCATTCAGAAAATATTGAATTTTACTTTGTTTTAGCAACGTGACTTTTTCTTACTGTACAGTTGACAACCTCACGGTTGTTGTTTTTTTTTGTGAAAAATACTCCCGTGTTTAAAACAGGAACATGGAAGGCCACTTTATACTAAAGAGAGTCAGGGATCCATCTAGCTGGGTGCTGTAGGCAAGGCACCGAATTCAAAGGAGCAGTTGAGGGTCTTTCCAGATAAAGCTAGTGAGACTCCAATGTGAAACACTTGGGGTCTAATGTTAATCAGTATGCAGGTACAGTGGTACCTAGGTACTCATCTGGGATTCGTTCCCAGAAACACAACTAGTACTAAAAATGGGTATTGAGTAAATCATGTAATCCTTTATTTCAGGCCAAAGGAGTTAGGGTCATGAGGCAGCTGATGCCAGCAAGGTCTACCTTGAGTGTCGCGTACAGGTAGAAAGATTTCTGCTTCAAAACACATTTGAGTATTGAATTTGTTGAGTTTTGCAGCATTCAAATACTGAGGTATGACTGTAGTCCCCAATTTATAGCCATTCATTTAGCAACCATTTGAAGTTACAACATCTCTCTGGATGCTTGCTTATATATATATAGTAGCAAACAAATTCTGAGAATTTCCATCTCCTGTGTGTATACTAATACTAATAATATTTATTCAGTAGCTAAAGAACTATAAAACATAAACAGAATAAAGAAAAAGAACTATAAAACATAAACAGAATAAAGAAAACTGACTATATTTTGGTTATCATCTGTTTCTAGAAGTGTTATTGGTTAGCTCAGGCCTGTCAAACTATGGCCCGTGGGCCGAATGCATCATGCAAAGGTTTTGCCCACCCAGGCTCTGCAAGGGCAAAAAGTGTCATGATATGCCACATGACACAATCAAGTTTGACAGCCGTGGGTTAGTTCTTTTTAAATAAAAGCTTTGAAATGGGAAATAATGGTTCATTTGAAAAATCAGCCGCTGCCCCCCTGCAGATGCATATGATGTCATGGCTAAGCTAGAAGCTGTTTATCTTGGTGTGCTTGTTGCCCTACAAAAATAGCTTGACTTTCTGTAGAAGTCTTTCCATAGAGAAATATTATGTATTTATTTCCATACATATTCAATTGTACGAAATTTTACCTGGGTCTGAAATGATGTAATTCAGAGATAGGTTTGGTTTTTCATAGAAAGCTATAATCTAAACTAAACAACCTTGCCTCTAATAGCTGAAATTTGCAAGGATAAGAGTCAGGAAAGTTGACTCAGAATGATTTAAGACTTGCAAGAAATGCAAACAACAACAAAAAGTTTCAGTATGTAAGGAACAAGAAAAAGGTCAAGGAAATAATTGGTCTACTAATGGGAGAAGATGGCAAGAAGGCAACAGGAAGAAAATGGAACTGTTTAATTTCTTCGTCTCTATCTTCACACAAAAGGAAAAAATAGTCCAACCCACCATAAGCAACACTGTGGAGACAGAACAGGAATGTAGATCAAAATAGGTAAAAAATTGGAAAGAAAACACTACCTACTCTAGGCGAGTTCAAATCATCAAGAACAGATGGTTCAATCTGAGGGTTCTGAAGGACATGTGATCTTGGAACCACTGAATTAAATTTTTCATTACTCCTGGGCCAGGAGGAAACTGCCAGAGGACTGGAAAAGACCTGATTTGGTTCCAACCTATAATAAAAGGGGGAAAAGTGGACCCAGGAAACTAAAGACCAATCAGCTTGACATTAATACCCAAGAAAATCCTGGAAAAGATAAGCAAGCAGTAGTAGTAGCAGTTAGACTTATATACCGCTTCATAGGGCTTTCAGCCCTCTCTAAGCGGTTTACAGAGTCAGCATA